CCTCCTTATTGTGAACATGGACCACCAATGTAACAAGTGCATTTAAGGGTCTCTCTTTGAAACAACAGCTCAAAATATGTGGCCATCTAACATCTCATTGTTATCAATTCAAAGTGGTGGTAGCATCTGACAGTCTTACCCTGGTCTCTGTTCTGCCTCCCTAAATAATTCAAGCACTGGATTTGATGAAGAGAGAACATTCTCCTTTGCCTGAAATTTAGTGGAGAGAAATTAGTTGTAGAATTCATGAAAACCAGATGGCTATAAGTGCACTTTGATTTATGATGCAGTCTACTTTATGATGAATCACACCGGGTAGGAAATATGTGTTATATTTTTCAGCCCTAATTATAAAGCGATGAGTGGATGTCTTCTGTTGCTTCTTGCAATCCTCTTGGATTCCAGTTTGATTAGGAAGACTTGGGCACCATACTGATTTGCAATATTTGTCAGGCTGTAACCCTTGTCATCGTTTAACATTAGTTGTCATGGCCACGTTTGATGGGAATTACAGAGCAGTAACAACTGGTGGGTCATGAGTTTCCCATTCTTGCTGTAAGCAGCACCAAGGTACTGTTGGTTTTAGACAGCATGATCCAAATTGGTTTTAGATGTACAGATAGGGTGCTGTCTAATTCTAATCTCAGTTTAGTTTGAATGGTTGATCTGATTTAACCATTCAACTTGAATTGCCAATGTAAATGATTTCAACTGTCAATCCATTTGGAAAGTTGTTTTGATTCTTCATTCAACCAAGTGATTTTCAAATCAAATTTCCAAATTTAAGTTTTACACAATTCTACTTTAACAAGTCACTTCCTAAATTCAGTTATATAGAGCTGTGGCTCAGTGGGTTACATGCAGAATTTAAACCGAACATCTCTAGGTGAGTTTGAGAAAGATTTCTGCTGGAAACTTTGTATTCATTATCATTCCTTAACATGACTACTAAATTAAGCCATTTTTCTGGATTGACACAACGCAGTGAAGCAAACTAACTGACAGCCTGGATTTACATGACCCACAGATGTACAAAAAAAGAAAGCAATTGACCAAGATTTGATTCTGATCAGAGCAGTCTATAAGTCTTATAAGTAAGTAAATAAAGTGAATACTACTGCAACATGCAATTATAATTTCTGATTATGTGTTTGGGTAGGCACAGCCAATGCATAGTATACTGAAGCTGATAGATCAATAGTTTGACTTCTATAACCATAAGGTCCCATTCCCTCTTCACTCTTCAACCAACATTTCTTTGCTGATGAATAAAGTCATTGTTGAGCTCATTTTGAACATCAGAGCTCAACCTCGGAGAAACAGCTTTAGCGAACAACTGTTGGAAAATAAGTTATGGGTGGGATATCCGTATAGTGATGGTGGTGGACATTCACAATGTTCTTCTTAACTGAAAACTCCTACCCTTTATACAGTATGTGAATAGGGTCGGTATCCATCACATCTTTATCATATTCAGCCCAGAATTAAAATTTAGATTGGTCTGCAGTGGAAAGCAGCATCTGGGAAGTTTGCAGAAGCCCTCATTTGCTACCCATTTGCTTGACAAGCTGGCAGAGGGCCTATGGGAACAAGACAGAAATAATTCACCCATAATTCATTTTCAATTGCCATTCTGTTCCAGACATAACCAATCACTTATGAATGGACGTTCGGCTATTTTTTACAGTATATCAAGTTTCCATTCCATCTAGAGAAGGAGGAAGACAAGGAGGGGGTTTTAGGTTACCATTTCAAAAGAGAGAGAAAAAATCTCTAATCTCCCATCACTTCTTTAAAAAGATAAATATTTGGCAGAAAGGAGAAAAATGCTCAGAGAGAAAATGAGAATAATTCCTAGGAGACTCATCCTATGAAGATAATAATAATAATGTATTTCCTTCTATTACCTATGTACCAGGGTAGATAATTCCTGATATCTGGTGGATTCATTAATAGTAATTTGGGGGAGGAAAGTCCACAGTGAGCTTGGCTATGATGAAGAATGGATAAAAAATGTTACTTTTATGTTAGTCCAGCTTTGTTTGACCTGGGATTCTTTCCATTACTACATTTTTTTAACAGTGTGAATTATATTTTAGGACAGTGGGAATAAATTTGCAGACTGCATGTGTCCCCATTCCCCTCCCCACCCCAATCCCCATTGTGATCTCAGGGAGTATCTATTCTACAATGGCACCCTACCCTATAGAACAGATTTCTACCCCTTTCTCCAAGAAATGGGTGGTTCCATCTCTTGTAGCATTTTGAACGTCCATGAAAATCTTGCTCTTCTTCCAGACACTGGGGCTGAGTTAGAAGTCACTGAAACATTGGCATGGGTGTAAATGATAAGTAGCCTTTGATTCGGTTTCTTTTTGGACTTTATGGAACTTTTTATTTTGTTCACAATCCCAAGTTTCTCAGATTGATGGGTGGATATATAAATTGGAAGGAAGGAAGGAAGGAAGGAAGGAAGGAAGGAAGGAAGGAAGGAAGGAAGGAAGGAAGGAAGGAAGGAAGGAAGGAAGGAAGGAAGGAAATTATAATGAGAGATGATTTTGAAGGCCATTATTGTTTTGTGAAAGAGCCAGGAAATGGGTTGATGGTATAGTAGAATTCCCCTTCATGCATCTCACGGCTTCAAATGCCAGAAGAAAGTGCTTGAACCAAATTGCTTTGAATTCTCTGGGCTTAGCCTGGCCTGCCTTTCTGAGAGAAAGGCTTTCAGTACCCACAACTTCCTCTTTGTAGTCAAAATGGCGGCTATTACAACTTCTACATTTCTAAAAAAAAAACAAACCAATACCATGCATAGTCTGCTTTCTGACCTCCTGTAACATTTTCTGTTTTGTCAACCGTATTTTAACCTCTTTTTCAGAGGGCCCGATAATTTGTTTTAGTAAGCTGTTGTGAATTTATCTCTGTATTGATCTACAGCAGACATGTCAAACACAAGACCCAGGGCCCAGATGCGCCCTGCGAAGTGGTTTCATGTGGCCCACGAAGCCATCCTGGAAACAGTGAGGGAACGGGCCCCGCTGCCTTGGCCCTGGTCCAGGCCACCCGGGAGCCAATGTAGAATTTTGTGGTGGCCATCTTGGCACTTGCCCCGGTGGACCATGCCTTGGCACTTGCCCCAGTTCCACCCCCTTCTGCCAAAGACCCTCAGATCTGTCCCACTCCTGCCCAGGCCCCCATAGGCACCCTTGACGCAAATGATGTAGAACTGGCCACGCCCACCCAGTAGCCACACCCACTCCATCCACGCCCACCCAGTAGGCTGCACCCACTCTGGCCACACCCACCTGCCCCCCCCAGGGCAACCGCAATGCTGATGTGGCCCTCAGTGAAATTGAGTTTGACACCCCTGATCTACAGCCTCCCTGGCTGCTGCTATTTGCTTTCTGTGGGACAGAATCACTGTGTTGAAACCAAGAAGGCTGCATGTTACTTGGAAGATAATGGTGAACTAAGAGATCAGAAAATATACGGAAATCCAAGAATACCAAATTCATAAGAATCTCACTAGAAGCCACTCTTTTTTAAACAAAGATTCATTTTGTCCATAAAATTAAGCATACTATTGTAAGTAAAAATGAATGATTAGCTGATGCTGCTCAGAATCACTTTGGGTAGTGAGCTGGGTGGCATATACATTTAATAAACAAATCAATAAATCTTCCAGTAATTATAAAGCACTTGGGAGAAACAATTTGTCAAAATATCTTCATCTTAGTCTTGTAGGGTCTCATTCTGTTTTTGGATTTGTTGCAGCTGAGGAACAACAAGATAAAAGATGTCTGCCTCGATCAAGGGCCACAGGAAAATCACACGGCGATCCTCTACCCGTGCCATGGCTGGGGGCCACAGGTTAGAATTCAACTTGATTACCATGATGTGATTTGAACAAGGATGCTGCAAAAGTTCTAATGTACTAGTGAAGAAGCCCTAGTGAATTCTGCAGTGAGCAGGAGGATGAACTAGATGACTTCAAAAATATGTTCCAAATCTAGGATTCTAGGGATCAATTAATTCAGGATTACCAAGATAGAAAGTAGATTATCGTTATTGTGAATCTGAATGTATGACGGGGTATCACGAAATGTCGTGAGAGACACGTTAAATGTCAGTCATGTAACGGGGGTTGTTAGACCCAGGAGTAAAAGGGCTGGAACCTTTCTACCTTCCGACTCAGTCGGAGTTCGTCAGCTTGAGGACTCATACCCGTCTCAATCAGACGTTATAACGTAAGATTTATCTGCACCACCATGATTCTTAAATATGACCATATTTCAGATTCAACCTTTAACTTTATAACATATCAGCTTCCTTGTCATTGGGTTTAAATAGAAAAAAATAAAAGACTGGGGAAAGGAAAATGGTGGCTATTAAAAGATGTAGCCATGGACACAATTTCCAGACAAGCACATGGAGAATTGGCCGATTATCAGCAGACAGCCAGAACATGCAAAGATGAAGTCAGGAAAGCAAAGGCTCAGAACAAACAAAGACTTGCAACAGAAATCATAGATAATAAAAAAGTTTCTTCCAACATATTAACAAAAGAAAAAAGTCAAGGAAACTTTAGGTCTACTAAAGAGAGAAGATGGCAAGGAAATAACAGGCAACAGGGAGAAAGAAGAGCTGCTTAACTCATACTTTGCACCAGTCTTCACACAACATACAAAAAGACCACTGCAAAAGACAAATTAGAAACAAAAATTAAAATAAGCAAGAAAATGGTAAGAGAACACCTATCTGACCTTGATGAATATAAATCACCGGGACCTGACAGGAGCTGGCAGATGTTATCTCAGAACCATTGCACCACATCTTTCAAAAATCCTGGAGTAACAGGGAAGTACCTGAGGATTGGAAAAGGGCTGATGTGGTTCCCATTTTCAAGAAAGGAAAAAAAATGGACCCAGGAAACTACAGACCAATCAGTTTAACATCAATACCTGGGAAGATCCTAGAAAAGATAATCAAAAAACAGATCTGTGAAAAACTAGAAGCAAACAAAGTTATAACTAGTAGCCAGCACGGTTTTGTTAAAAACAGATCATGCCAAACAATCTTATTTCATTTTTCGACAAAATGACTAAACTAATAGACCAGCGTAATACTGTGGATGTAGTATACTTAGACTTCAGTTAAGACATTTGATAAAGTAGACCACAACCTACTCCTTGGCAAGCTACAAAAAGGTGGAATAAATAACATCACCACAGGATGGATCTGTAGCTGGCTGGCAAACCATACTCAACGAATAGTCCTCAATGGCACTACATCCACATGGAGAGAAGTAAGCAGTGGGGTACCACAAGGTTCCATCTTAGGCCTAGTACTCTTCAATATCTTCATCAATCACTTAGATGAGGGAATTGAAGGAGAACTCATCACATTTGCAGATGACACCAAACTGGCAGGAGTAGCCAACACCCCAGAAGACAAACTCAGGATCCAAAAAGATCTTGACAAACTTGAACAATGGGCCCTATCCAAATCAAAGGTACAAGTACAGATTGAGCAAGACCTGGCTTAAAAACAGTAACTATGAGAGGGACCTTGGAGTCCTAGTGGACAATCACTTAACCATGAACCGGCAATGTGCAGCAGAAGCCAAAAAAACTAATACAATCCTGGGTTGTATAAACCTAGGCATAGACTCAAAATCACACAAAGTATTAGTACTGCTTTATAAAACTCTAGTAAGACCACACCTGGAATACGGCAGCCAATTTTGATCACCATATCACAAAAAAGAGGTTGAGAATTTGGAAAAAAAATCAAAGAGCAACTAAGATGATCAAAGGCCTGGAGACTAAAACATACGAAGAACAGCTGCAGGACTTGGGTTTGGCTAGTCTAAAGAAAAGAAGAAATGAGGGAGACATGATAGCAGTATTCCGGTATTTGAGGGGCTGCCACAAAGAAGAGGGGGTCACATTATTCACCAAAGCACCAGAGGGCAGGACGAGAAACAATGGTTGGAAACTGATCAAAGAGAGAAGCAACCTGGAATTAAGAAGAAACTTCCTGACAGTGAGGACAATTAACCAGTGGAATAGCTTGCCCCCAAAAATCATGAGCACTCCATCACTGGAGATTTTTAAGAAGAGGCTAGACAGTCACTTGTCTGAGTTGGTATAGGTTCTCCAACGTGAGCAGGGGGCTGGACTAGAAGACCTCCAAGGTTCCTTCCTGATTCTATTCTATTCTATTCTATTCTATTCTATTCTATTCTATTCTATTCTCAGTGTCTGGATCTCCTTCAATGGAATAAGAAAAACATTCCTTTCTGAACTGGAGTTTGTGCATCCCCTTCAAGATGTTTCTCAGTTTATGGAGCGCTTTCCTGTTTGACATTCAGGAATTGCGTTTATATCTCCAAGGGGCTGTTTTCTTTTCTCTTTTTCCCCCCAAAGGTCAACTACTATGTACTTTCTACACCTGAATAGAGCTTGTGCTCTGCTCTTTTTCTTTCTTCAGTAGCAGATCCTTTGCCTAGTGACTTTTGTAAAGTGAAATTCTCCCACAAATGTGTACAGTTATGTAGGTCTTTCATATTGGAATTTCCTACTTGCCCCAAACATTTATTTCACAGTTGGACATGCAAGCAGATCTTTCACTCCCCTGCCCTTTCCCTTTATTTAGAGATTAATCAATCCACAGATGGTTAATAGAATATAAGAGAATAACAGAGTTGGAAGGGGCTTTGGAGGTCTTCTAGTCTAACCTTCTGCTCAAGCAGAAAACCCTATACCACTCAGACAAAATGGTTGTCTCTTTTTAAAACCTCCATTGTTGGAGCACATACAACTTCTGGAGGCAAGTCGTTCAACAGATTAATTGTTTTAATCGTCAGAAAATTTCTCCTTAGTTCTAGGTTGCTTCTCTCCTTGATTAGTTTCCATCCATTGCTTCTTGTTTTCCCTTCAGGAGCTTTGGAGAATAGCTTGACTCCCTCTTCTTTGTGGCAGCCCCTGAGATATTGGAACACTGCTATCATGTCCCCCCTCGTCCTTCTCTTCATTAAACTGGACATACCCAATTCCATCAACCATTCCTTATATGTTTTAGCCTCCAGCCCCCTGATCATCTTTGTTGCTCTTCTCTGCACTCTTTCTAGAGTCTCTACATCTTTTTTATATTGTGGTGACCAAAACTGGATGCAATATTCCAAGCGTGGCTTTACTAAGGTGTTATAAAGCAGTATTAACACTTCACATGACCTTGATTCTATCCCTCTGTTAATGCAGCTTGGCTTTTTTACCAGCTGCAGCCATTTCCACCTGTTTTCTGACTTGTGGGCAAAACTTTGGTGCAGAAACGCCAAGAATTTTGCTGTTACCCCTACCTCAAATTTATTCCAAGAGTTGCTATTTTACCTTTTTCACACCTCGACCTTTCAGAGTGACAGCAGGACCTTGGGGAAACAAATGGCAAGGATAGTTTAGCAGACACCACGATTTGCTCCAATAGAGGTTTTCCTGTCATCTTTCCAAGGTAGCTCCATGCAGCGTGCATAGTATCAGTTATGAAAACCTGCCCAGTCCAAGATCAGTGGGAGCACTGATGGATGAGACGTAATTTGGCACCTTCCGCCATATGCAGTGACAGCTACAGAACTAGAAGGCTTGTCGGGCTGTCAACCAGCTCTTTTAATACCTCACAATTCTTCTTCTTCTGATTTTTAATGAACAGAGCTTGGAAATAATGGTAGTCCTCCAGTTACGACCATTCATTGATTTGAAGTTACAATGGCACTGAAGAAAATGACTGACAGCTGGTTCTTGCACTTACGACTGTCACAGCATCCCCACAGTCTTGTGATTAAAATTCAGGCACTTGGCAATTGGCTTGTGTTTATCCTTGTATTGTGCAATCGCCATTTACAACCTTCTTAGCCAGCTTCTGACAAGCAAAGTGAATGGGAGAACCGGGTTTGCTTAACAACTGCATGTTTTGTTTAACAACTGCAGTGATTTGCTTCACAACTGCGGCAAAAAAAAGATTGTAAAAGTGGGCATGGCTCACATAATAACCACTTTGTTTAGCCACAGAAATTCTGGGCCCAGTTATCATAATTGGGCGAGACCTGGCTCAAAAACAGCAACTGTGAGAGGGACCTTGGAGTCCTACTGGACGATCAGTTGACTATGAGCCAGCAGTGTGCAGCAGCAGCCAAAAAACTAATACAATCCTGGGTTGTATGAACAGAGGCATAGAATCAAGATCACATGAGGTATGGATCCAGGAAATTACAGACCTATCAGCCTGACCTCAATACCTGGGAAGATTCTGGAAAAGATAATCAAACAATGAATCAGCGAACACCTAGAGGCAAACAAAGTCATTACTAAAAGCCAACATGGGTTTGTCAAAAATAGATCATGCCAGACAAAACTTATTGCATTCTTTGACCAAGTGACAAAATTAGTGGATCAGAGGAATGCTGTGGACATAATTTACTTGGACTTCAGTAAGGCATTTGATAAAGTAGACCACAACCTACTACTCGATAAGATAGAAAAATGTGGGTTAGACAGCATCAGCACCAGATGGATCCGTAGCTGGCTGACCGGCCGTACTCAGCGTGTGGTCCTCAATGGAACTGCATCTACGTGAAGGGAAGTGTGTAGTGGGGTGCCCCAGGGCTCTGTTCTGGGCCCAGTGCTCTTCAACATCTTCATCAACAATCTGGATGAGGGGATAGATGGGGAACTCATCAAATTTGCAGACGACACCAAGCTGGCAGGAATAGCCAACACTCCAGAAGACAGGCTTAAGATACAGGAGGATCTGGACAGACTTGAACAGTGGGTGCTATCCAACAAAATGAAATTCAATGGTGAAAAAAGTAAGGT